GTGTTCACCCCACCCCCACACACACACACACATATCTTTTCTTTTTTTGAAGACTAGGGTTTCTCTAATAATAGCAACTAATAACGATACTTCCCTAGGATGCTGACTGATGGTTCTGTGGCGAAGGCATCATAAAAGAGCTGGGAGATTTTGCTGAGAGCCACCTTTGTTTTCTGTGGCAGCTGGTGAGACTTCGGAAGGGCAGTCTGTACCCACTGAAAGCAAGCAAGGCAGAAAATAGAAATGGGAGAAAGGGCTTTTGTGAAATGTGGCGAGGGAAACATGCATGTTCCTGGAATGAAATGCTGATTAAGAAAGCACGGCAATAAACGCTTTGCCATCATTAGGTTGATAGGCAGCCCTTCCACAGCCAAGCTCATGGATCGTTACTTACCTGAGCACCTATGGCGAGTAGAATTTCCCCCAGGAAATGGGGGAACCTTTTGAAAAAGGGCACCCTGCTCCCGTTTCTAGAGCGAGGTACAGTTGAGCCAGTGGAATGTCAAATGCAAAACGAAATGGGAAGGAGGATTTCCTGAATTTAAACCACGTGAGGACTTTTGTTGTTCTTTGAAATTGGAGAACCTACAAAAGCTGTTTAGAGATGTGGCCAGGTTCAAAGCAATCCAGGCACATATTTTGCAGCTTTTGTTCAGGTTGTTCAGTCATCAAAAAATACTGTTTTGTGATCCAAGCAATTATGTTTGACAAAGGAATCTCTGGCGGGCAGCTTCCGTGACATTTCGGGGACATCGGAGGTTGTCTGTGCCAGCATAATTTCTGTGCATTAAGAAAAGGGTGGGTGGGTGAATGACTCAAATGAGCATTGCTTTTCTCCAAGAGATACCCCTTTCAGGTGCATAAAATGGAAGGGAAATCTCCCAAACATTGCTTATCTTAGTACGGGGTGCAGAGAGACAGGGGACCTGTGATGAAGAAGGATTCTGAGCTGTTGAAGTGGCTTGAGTTAGTCTTTAATGTAGGTGGGGAATGCTGGTCAGTCAAGTAAACATCTCTTTGGATATTAATGGTAAACTCATTAATGCGCTTTGATGTTAGGTGCGTTCCTCCCTTTTTAGTGTTTCCCAAGTGGAAGGTGCTATTCGTGGCTGCTTGTATGTTTTTCTTTTGAGCTGGCCCTGACTTTGATCCAAATTCCAAGCCCATTGCTTCCTCTCTCCCTCACCTCTGTTACTCGAATGAATAGAGTCCTGGCTAAGCACAACCATCCACAACTGTTGCGCAGCCGTTCTGACCACCTGAGTGGGTCTCCAGTGGTTGACCAGGTAGAGAACATCTGGCTTGTCACACGGCGCTCTGGATGGGTCACTGTCCCCTGGAATCAGGAGCGGTCCGAAAAGGAAATGAGAATATACTGCAACATGCCATGGTCGTCCTCGCACACAATAATTCCCCGATTACAGAAAGCTTTGGGATCGGCACTAAGCCACACTTGCGGAATCAAAATGCTCCGCCGTTTTGTAAAGCAGGTGTGAGTGGCACCAGCCGATGCCGCGTGGAGCGTGGCAGCTCCTTTCCCCCAAAGCACAGCTCTCTTGAGGCATTTCTTCCACTGCTGCTGTGGCACGGATGACTGGGCAGATGAGCGGGAAAAGCTGCCGAGACTCCTGGAACCATCATCGGGATTTGGCTCCGGAGGATCCAGTTGCCAGCCTCTGCCTTCAAGAAGAACGGAAGCCTCTTCCCCCTGCAGCCCACCCTTTATCTAGTGTGAGATGCACTTAGCGTAATGGCTGCTGCGTTTCATATCACCGCTGCTCCCCCTCCACCCCGCATTTCTAGTCCAGTCCCTGTTTGCCTAAGTGGCAAGAGTAGTGCTGGAGATAATGTATGTTTTTAATTAATAGCTTTCGCCTGGAGTGTGAGGGTGGGGGATTTGGCCGGAGCCTCCTCCAGAGCGAGTACAGTGCGTGCCCTCTGTTCCGCACGACATAGGTGCTTTTTCCAGCTGGGCTCAAATTGCTATTCAAGACCTCAGAAGTGTTTTTCCCCAGCTTTGCAGGGAAACAGCTCCAAACACCTCTTTTACTCCTCCGGGCGTGCATCACACCTCCAGAGGCAGTGTAGCCCGCGGCAGGGGCAGGCAGCCGATCCTGGGTGCAGCGGGAAACGTGCTATAGAGGATCACGTGGCTGGAGAGCGGTGGTCTGTCAGTCCCCCTCTGCCCTGAAAGACGGAGGAAAGGGAGGGTGCACACTCCATGGTTGATTTCTGGGAGCTGCTTTTTGGTGGGGTGACCACTAAATGTAAACAGGCCCTTGATCTGTGCACCACACTGGGGCAGCAAGCCAGGGAGCTGCTTCCTGCCTGCCAGATGCAAGTGCTAAAGCTCTGTGTCCTTATTTTCTTCTGCTCTGAGCCCTGAGCCAAGTCTCCAGGTTAAGACCCAGAGCCCAGGCTGAGCGCTTTCCCTGGCATTGCAGTGGCCGTGTCCCCCTAGCTCATGCCAGGAAGACCCTCCAGCCCCCTCCTGCAGTGGCTGCATCTCCCTTGATAGAGACTTACTCACGAGCATTCAGGAGGATGGGAAAACAGCCTACAAGCGTATTGTCTAGTTACCATGAGTCACTGAGCGGAGGGTTCTTGAAGGTAATTGCTCCACCCACTCTGCAAAGAATCAAACGGTTGCAAAGAGAAGTTGTGGTATGCATTTTGGAGGAACTCGGGTACGCCTTTTGTCTGCTGGAGTCTCACTTGTTTGTGAATGGATGGATGTCCAGAGCTTTGTTACGTGGGATGCTGCTTCGCAAGTGCTGCCGAGTGATTCCGTCCGGCTTATTTCTGGGCAGAGATGGAGACACCTTGTGCTCCTTGATTCTGAGCAAGGCTAAATTGGCAGTAATCACGTCCGGCCCCACCTGCTCTGTCTTAGGTCCTCCCAAACTTGCGGTGCGGCTCTTGAGATGGTTCCCGTGTTGGAACTGGGCCCTGGCAGGTAGAAAAGTGGGCAGAATCTGCAGCCAAGACTGGCTCTGAATTCCATAGCAGGAGGCCTGGATGCATCGAGCCGTGTCTGGATTCCTTGACCCACATGCATGCGGAGGCAGCGCTGACGTGTTTGTGGTCAGTGGAGGATGGCTTTATTGGTAAAGGCTGATTTTGTAGGCCAGAAGGATGGATGAAGCCGTGCTTCCTCTTTCTTCATGTGTGTGCAGTTTCGGTTGAGACCGAGGTCTGTGGCTTGTTTCCTCTCTGGCAGAGGTCAGAGAAAGTCAGAAGAAGCCGTGTTTATGGGGGCCACCGCTTGCCCCATGGCTGTTTCGTAAGCTTTGCAAAAAAAAAAAAAAAAGTCTTCTGCTTAAAAACAGGAACAAATGGCGTGACTCTGAGAAGGTGGGCAGTGACTGAGCAGCAGCTTTCCTGCCTCCCCCCAGGCAGTGCTGGGCAATTTATGCTTTGTATAATTAAGAGTTAATGTGGGAACTAAGCTTAATGCCTCTTTAAACTGGCAGTCAAAGGAGCTGCACAGAGACATTTGTTACTTTTAATAGAAATCCTGACAAAGCCAGGCGTGCAGCCATCTCCAAGCAAAGGAGCTTTAAGTGTCCATAAAAACCAGCAGGTTGTGAAGATTTGCTTTGTTTGTTCATGGAACAGGGTGGTCGCCACGTTGGCTCAGGAAAAAAGAGAAAATTTTGGTCTTACGGCATGAGTAGAAATGCAGAAGTGCAGAAACAGCAAGGTTGAAATGGGCCACCAAAATAATCCAGAGGTTGGTGTGTTTTCCTTGAGAAGAAAGGCTAAAAAAGCTTTCTTCAACATGGTGGACTCCGAATACCTTGAGCTACAACTTCCGCATTCCTGATCATTCATCATACTGGTTGGGGCTGAATTTCTGGAGGGCACCAAGTTTGGAAAGACTGGGTTAAAGCATTTAGCTTCCAAAGGAAACTGATTTGTACATGTCTACTCAGAAGAAAGCTTTTTCCTAGCCTAGTGGTCTCTGTATGATGTGGACTACAGCATCTTTCATCTGCTGGGGCTGATGGGAGCTCCAGTTGAAAACATCTGGAGGGAATCGGTTTGGAGGCTGAGTTTAATATTGATTTAGAAAATTATGCATGGTGTGGAGGACGGGAAGCTTTTTCTCCCTCTTTCTCTCACCCAATTAAATTGATTGGCAGTAGATTCAGAAGAGGCAAAGGAGGAAATGCTTCTTTTCCAAGCATATATTTAATTTGTGGAATTTGCTGCCATGAGATGCAAGGCCTTCTGTGGGTTTAAAAGGCGTTTAGAGACATTGACGCTGCTAGAGGAGGAGCAGTCTATCAAAAGAATTACTAGTTTAGGTGACAAAGTTGAATTTCCAGATTCAGTGGTAAAATGCTGCTTCATACCAGCTGCCTGGAGGCAAGAGCAGAAGAGGGTTACTTCTCTTATGTCTTTGCTGGGGGGCTTTTCTGGACCATCTGCCTGGCTGCTGTTGGAAGCAGAATGCTGGACTAGATGGGCAGAACCTCAGCAGGTTCTGTACGGTTCTTTTTGTGAGTTTTCCACCTTCTGTTTGTGTAATATCATGGAGGAGAGGAGAGGAGGTTGAACAAGAGGAGAAAATAAGCCTGTAAGCCACGGCTAAAAAAGTGGTAATGCCAACTGGAAATTTGCATTTTGATGTAGACATGGTGTAAATAAAAGGTCTTGGTTTCAGTTTGGCTGTGGCGACCATGACTGCATGTAGCTCAGTATTGTCTGTATCTGCCTTCTCCAGGCTGGTACCCTCTTGAAGCATTGAGTGGCAGCTCCCATAATTCCCACTGAATTAGGGTGGGGATGATGGGGGTTGTGGCAGCACCTCTGGAGGGCACAAGGCAGGTTTATGCTGATTTGGGGAGTAAGATGGCTCTTTCTGCAGCCCTGGATAGACATGCTGGGAATTGAACTTGGGGCCCTCCATAGGCAAACCAGCATTGGGTTTCATTCCTTTCCCCACACAGTTTTAACTGAGCTCTAACATTCTTTCTTCCTTGTTTGCCTTCCAGTCACAGCTTGAAACAGCCAGTATGTGCATAATGAGGAGAAATTCTAGGATTCTCTAGTGCTCCGCGTCACAAGATTCTGGGTATTAACACGCACACGGCAAAACAAGACCCCTTCTGGCTTCTTCGGCAATGTCTGGATCTACTCAGCCTGTGGCACAGACCTGGAGAGGGACTGAACCCCGTTATCCTCCCCATGCCATGTCGTATCCCATGGCAATAAGTCAACCACATGTGGTAAGTGGGCCTTTTGTTCCCTATCCTGTTCACGTCTGTTTGATCGACATGGTTAGCTTTATCATGTGCAAGAGGTCTTAGTCAGGGTGCATTTGAGCTTCTGCCAGTTCTGCTCAGAGAAGAAGGTGGCATCCTGTCCACAAATGTATTTGCTTCCATTCCCCCAAATCTGGGTTGCACTACAGCTGAGATGAATGCTCTTTATGAGGGTGTTTGACTTAGAAGTTTTGGGTGGAGTGAATGTCGCCTCTGGGTTTTGCTCCTGCTGCCCCCTGGTGATCTCCCCTGAGTGGCTGATGGCTGCCATCTTATTTATTTGTCTGCTTATTGATTTCACTCCATTTCTGTGCTGCCCCGTAACCCAAAGGTTCTCAGGGACTTCCCCCCCCCTCACGAGGCTTGTGTGACTGGACCAATGAAGTGTTGTCTTGCGGTATCATTCTTAAAGGGCTTCTGGGAATGAAGAGCGATGACTATGGGATATCTAGAAGAAGACTGCCACTGCTATCCCCAGTAAGGCCTGTGGTTTTGACCCTAAAAGAAAACTGATAAAAGCGGATGTTGCAACTTGTATGGGGAACCCAGAGAGTTGTTTATTCACCCCTCACTAGGTATGGGAGATGATTCTATGGGGCAAAACATGGGGAGGGCTTGCCCAGCCCTGCGTTACAGCCAAGTCTGTAGGTTCCTCCCCAACTGGAAGGGGATGAAGCCCAGAAAATGTGCCAGAGTCACAGGATCATAGAATGCTTCCTCGTGGGATGGGAATATCCATCTATTCCTGTCTGGCAGAGGAAAAACTGTTGATGGGGTTTGATTGGGTTGTCTTGGCTTGATACCTCTTGGATCCCAAATCTGGCCGTTGTTTTCCCAAGTGGGTGTTCTTTAGATGTTTTAGGCTGTAACTCTGGTCATTCCGGACCAGCTTAGCTTAGATGAGGATGATGGGAGATGTCATTCAACACATCTGGAAACCAAGTTGGGGAAGAGATTGAAGACAACATTTCAAGTCACAGAAACAAATAGATCCCCTCCCATTTATCTTTTGTTCTGCTGCCATACTGACCGTTTTAAAAGACTAGGGTGGTGGGATGGAAGATTGGGCTAATATTGGTGGAAGCTGTGGAAAGGCATTTTCTTATAGAATCATGGAATATTAGGGTGAGAAGGGACCGAAAGGCCATCAGGTCTAACCCCCTCCTCAGTGCGGGACATCCAGGTTCAATTATCCTTCTCAGAGGGCTGTCCAGCTGTCCGTCTCGAGTGCCTCTAGTCTGGGAGAGCCACGTCTCTGGTTCCATTGTGCTGCTCTCGCCGTCCGGAAAATTTTCCCGATACCCAGTCAGAATCTGGCTTTCTATAACTTGAGCCCATGATCCTGTGTCCTACACTCTGGGATGATCGAAGAGAGATCCTGGCCTTCCTCTTTGTGACAACCTTTCATGTTCTTGTAGAGGGCCATCGTATTTTCCCTCCGTCTTCTCTTCACGAGGCTAAACATGCCCAGTTCTCTCAATCTCTCCTCATGGGGCTTTGCTTCCAGTCCCTGGAAACTCCTCGTCGCTTTTTCAGAACACTTTCCAGCCTGCCTGCTCCTCTCTTGAATCGGGGTGCCCAGAACTGGGCACAGAAGCCCAGATGAGGCCTAACCAGTGCTGAGTAAAGGAGAGCTAGTACTTCACTGGACTGGGAAATGCTGCTTCTATTAATTTGGCCAAAAATAGCATTTGTCCTTTCCGCAGCCACATTGCATTGTTGATTCATTGGGCTTGTGATCTACAACACTTCCAAGATCCTTCCCGCTTGCGGTATTTAGTCGAGCCAAGTATTCCCCACCCTGCAATGATACATTTTGTTTCTTTTTCCTGGGTGCGAAACTTGGCATTTGTCCCTCTTGAACTTCATTTAGTTGGTTTCAGCCCAGTGTCCTAGTCCGCCAAGATTACCTTGCATCTTATTTCTGTCTTCCAGAGTATTAGTCACCCCACGCAGTTTTGTGTCCTTTGCAGTTTTGATCATCATTCCCTGCACTTCCTCCTCTAAATTAATAATAAAAATGTCGAGGAACACCGAGCCTCCGAACCTCCCCTTCGTAATTTAGGCATCGCACAGTGGCAGCCTTTCGCCGGGAGGTGTGTCCCAGAAACCGGCCCGCGTGTCATTGTGTCAACACCTGAGACAAGACAAAACCCAACTCGGCAGCTTTGGAGATCGATGGCAGGGACAGTGTCATTGCAACAATGAGAGGCCGCTGCCTCTCAAGCCCGCTCTTGCATCCGTGCAGATAAGAGCCGGAGGAGTAATTCAAGCAGGTTTACACTGCTGACCTTTATCAGAAGGAACAGATTTCACTACAAAGCCGCTCCAGAACACCCTCGTTTCGTTTCAAATCTGCAACATGCATCTCTGGTTGGAAAGAAGCTCGGGCAAGACTGCTTTGGGTCAGATCGACCTGCTTGATTCATAGCCTTTCCTTTCTGTCTCTGCCTTCTGAAAATGCAAATGCCGAGAATTATTTGTTTTTCCCAGGTCCCCCTAGCTGTGAACTGTACCAGACAAGCAAATGTGATCTTAGGAAATTGTGTTTATTGGAGCAAGTTGCAAGTTTTTCCCAGTTTGAGCCGTTGGCCCTCATCAGATCTCAGGCCTTCTTAAGCTGTGTTGAGCTGCACCTGCCCACCTGCTCAGTCTCCCAGACAGAATTCGTTTGCTTCAAGCCACAGTTGGCTGCTTGTTGGCAATTCTGTGGGAGGCAGAATTCAAGCCTTCTTGGATTGAAAGGCCGGGGAGAATGGAGATGGAAAAGGAGTTGGAAATGAGTGCTTTTCTTTGTAGGAACTTGCTCCCGGCTAATAGGTTTAGAACAATGTTCCCACCCTTTTGCTCTCCGGATTCATAGGGCTGTGGCTGCCATTATCCCTAGCCAGTGTGGTCATAGGCTGAGTTAGCTGGGATTAATGATTGGACAACAGGGTGAGGAAGATGGTCTGGGGTGTTGGCTGTTGCTTTGGCACTTGGAGCCTGAAATGAACATTTAGTGTCGCTCTACAATCCTTGGTGGCGACCCCTTGGTGAAAGAGGCCTGTTGTGATGTGGAAGGGCTTGGCTGCAAGAGGAGGGGTTTCATCGCAGCGGTGCAGCACACGCATGCAGAAGGCCCCGGCTTCAGACCCTGGCTTCCTTGGGCAGGGCTAGGAAACTTTGGAGAGCTGCCGGTCAGTGTTGACAATACTGGGCTAGATAGACTGAGGTCTGACTCCGTATTAGACAGCTTCCTCTACTTCTTTGATAACTCTGTGGTATCAACCACTGTGCAATAATGGAAAAGCATGACGTAGGAAGAACTCACATGTCCAGAAACCGCAATAAAGTTTCTGGAGAGCTTTTGGAAGCAATGTAAGTCAACAAGCAACCTCTGGTGACTTTAGTTTTGCTGTGCTTGGCTTCATGGTCCAAAAGACAGCTAGGAAACTGGATGCTAGGCCAAGTAGGTATGCAGGGGCAAACCGACTGCGAGCTCAGCCTGCATCAGAGCGGAGTGGAAGAGCTGCATGTATAGATGCGCGTGGAACTCTCTTGGCTGGTTGGGGTGACCCCATCCCAGCTGAAGTAGCATCTGCAGTCGCACTCCCTTCGCATCCAAAGCGGTAGTGTGACCGCGCAGCGATGATCGGATGTCTGGTTGGCTTCTCCTGCTCGGTCCCCCCACTAGAGACCTTTGCTGCCACGAATTTATCTTGGAGAGCCTAACTGCCTCTGCCGCTTTGCACGTGTTTTCTTGGCATGCTCCTTGCAGCGGGCAGGTGCGCCCTGGAGGTCTGCGGCTCCGTTTACCCAGTGCCTCCATAAATGATTCACGGGGAGCAATGCTGGCTTTGTAGCTATTTGTTTGTCACAGATACTATTGCTTGGGTGCTACATGGCAAACTTTTCCATTGCAAATGGCTTACCTGCTGGTTGGAAAGATGCAAGGGGAAAGATTAGCCACCAAACATAAGTAAAAAAGGGACGGGGAGAAGAAAAGTGTGTGGGTCCTTATTTTGTAAGCCCTTTGCATGTACTGCTTTAGAGTGTTTTAGAGTGCTTTTAGGATTGTTACGCCTGTGCTTTGCACGCAGCAATTCCAGGTTGACTGCCGCATCCCCTTTTTTTAAGGTTCAGGGTGTATGTGATTTCAAAGATCCCTTTGAAGCCAGAGACTCTGGAGAATTATTGTCAGTCAAAGCAGATAGTCCTGGTTTAGCTACACTGATCAGATGGATGTGCTATCTGGCCGTTTCCCCTGTTACTTTGCAGACATAATTTGATCCATTAGTTTTGTCTAAGGGACTGCCTGTCTCACTGTGCACTCGCCCGGTTATTAAAAGCTGTAAGAGAGGCCCTTTACGGTTACTCCTGGAGACTTGGTCTTCCTTCCAGGCCTTTCTGCGCTCACAAGGGGGCTCAGATTCTCTGCCATTTGTAGGGAATTATTTGCAGGGAAAGAGCTTTCTAGAGCAAGAAACGCTTCCCTTGGTCTTGCTTGAGTCTAAGACTCACAGGAGCAAATTTGGTAGAGACTTGCTACTTAGCAGCTTCATGCCGGAGTCTCCCTTTTTAAAGTCATGGCAGCTTACAAGTCCACTAGAGAATATCCACAGAGGGTGAAGTATTCTGCTCCCAAATCCAGGGTTGAATGCGAAGGCCCCTCTAGGGCTGAGTTTGCAACCCTTGGGGTGGATGGACGGGCGCAGTGCTGAATCCACCAGCTCTCTCTGGGTTGGGTTTGCAAGGGCTAATCCTGATTGCTGGCCCCTGCCTGCAGCTGAGAGCAGGTATTTGGCCATGGTGCTACCGCCGCTGCTACTGATCTCCTCCTCCTCCAGTGTAGAAGAAAAACCCTCCTGCAGCTGGGGCATCATTTCCAGTTCTTTCCCCTTGTCTCTGCTTTCTGGATCAGAAATTAAGCAGAGGATCCTCCAGCTACAAGGAAAGAAAGAAGAAAGCAAGCAAAAGCTCCG